CCAGGTATTGTTGCACTACAGTTCCCATCTTCCCTGACCATTGGTCCTGCTAGCTGATGGGAGTTGAAGTCTCACAACATCTGCAGGCCAGAGGTTCCCCAGCCCTGCTAAATAAAATAAAATAAAATAAAAATACTTTGAGTTCAACACACTACCTTTTGTCCCTCAGTATCAGACCTTGAAGTGAATTTCCTTTTACTCTGATAAATTCTCAAAGAGTTTCATCTTCATAAGGCTTACCAGAAAGTTACATTAATTAATTAATGGAATCAATTATAATGACGGAAGGGTTGTAAACACTGAAATTATTTGTCTCACTAATCATTATGTTGTCTGCAATTCAATGTCAAACAATTCAGATTGATAACTGGATAGTTTGAAATTGAATAATTGTTTTTAGACTGGCAAGATGCTCCGTTCTAAGAAACACCACTAAACCTCTCTTTTCGTTCTTCTACTTACTTATTTAAAAAACAGAAGGGAAAAGGCATGAGAGAAATATATATCACTCTCTCTCTTTCTCTCTCTCTCTCACACACACACACATGCTCAGTCACACAGAGAAGCATACACATATAGGCTCGACTCAGATTTGGTAAAAAAATGTGATCAGGCCTGCTACTGTGATACTACTCCCTCATTCCTGCACACAGTTTCTCCAAATGATAAAATGAGTAAGGAGGCCAAATGTAAATTACTGAATGAGTACCATGTTGTGGACTGTGATGAAAGGTGAATCTGAATTTTGAAAAGATTAATGTTAAGACTATAAGAAGCGCCTGTGACCCATATAGCCCAGTATCCTACCCACCCAGAGCACAAGAGCACTCTCCTCTCCTGCATTTTCCATCGGCTGACATTAGGAAGAATTAGTGCCTCCAACTGTGCAGGCAGCCCACAGCCATTATAGCTAGTAGCCATTGATAGCCTTATCGTCTATGAATATGCCCAACCCTCTTTTATAGCCTCTTTAAAATCTAATGAGTTGGACGCGGGTGGCGCTGTGGTCTAAACCACAGAGCCTAGGACTTGCCGATCAGAAGGTCGTTGGTTCGAATCCCTGCGACAGGGTGAGCTCCCGTTGCTTGGTCCCAGCTCCTGCCAACCTAGCAGTTCGAAAGCACCCCCAAAAGTGCAAGTAGATAAATAGGTACCGCTCTGGCAGGAAGGTAAACGGCGTTTCCATGCACTGCTCTGGTTTGCCAGAAGCGGCTTAGTCATGCTGGCCACATGACCCGGAAAAACTGCGGACAAACATTGGCTCCCTCGGCCAGTAAAGCGAGATGAGCGCAGCAACCCCAGAGTTGTCCGCGACTAAACCTAATGGGCAGGGGTCCCTTCACCCTTTAATTGATCAATTAAACCAAGTTAGGGCTCATCCAGATTTCCTTTTGTGCTGCATTTCTAGACATAGGTTTGTACTTTAAAGGAACATGTCGTCTTCTTTTTGTCCTGGCACTTTCACCACGAAAACCTGCTCTTTAGCGCTGAATTGGAGCAAAGGATAATTCTCAGAATTGCCTTTCCCCCCGATTCAGTGTTAAAAAGGAGATTTTCATGTGGAAAGCATCGGGGGGGGGGGGAGTGTGCTCTGACATGGTCTTCTAAGCGGACCTGTGCTTAGAAAGCATGGGGCAAAAGGTGATTATGAGCCCTCTATTGATACTCATAAGAAAAGCTCTCAAAAGACAAAAACCTGTAGCAGGTTTTGAGCATGGGTTTTACGCCATGCAAAAGAATTTCTCTTCCATAAATATTCAGTAATCATTCATAAGCTTTATTGGTGCCTTTGGGCAACCTAGTATCTGGTGAGTGAAATGACTGATTGGCTGTAACAAGACCTCGAGCTTGAAAATAGTGTGTTCTTCTGTGATTAGAAAAGAACAAGGTAATTACAGTTTGATATAGTTGGGAAAACAAATTATCCCTAGGGCAGAAGGCCTATTTTCATGATGCAATGTAAACAAAACGACAACAGCATAAGAATGATGGCAGAAAACCACAAAGATCTAAATCACAGGAGGTGCTGCTCTTGCTTATATGAGCTTTTTCAGGCACAAGATTAAAAAACCAAGCCCTGTCAACTGATACATATCTCTCATACTCTTTCCCCAGCAGACCTTGGAAGTAATAATAATAATAATAATAATAATAATTTCTAGTCTGCTGTTTATCAAATTAATGATGATGAATATAAGGAGGTTGTGTTACACTATAAGCATAGCAGCAATAAGGTCATACAGCACATTAAAGAAAAAAACTGAATCCGCAGTTTAAAAAACACAGTTTAGTGACAAAGCAGGTAAACAATGGGTGGTATTCAGCTACATTTTACTCAGAGTAGACCTATTGAAATTAATGGCCCATAGTCATGTTCATTATTTTCAATAGGTCTACTCTGAATAATACTTAGGTTGCATGTACACCATGCATTGAAGCACCTTTTTTCCTCCAAAGATCCCTGGAAACTGTAGTTTCTCTCTCACAGAGCTACAACCCCCAGCATCCTAACAAGCTACCATCCCCAGGATTCTGTGGGGGCAATAATGTGCTTTCAAATTGCTTTAAATGTATCGTGCGTATGCAGCCTTAGTTGAACCTGCCCAGTGAACCTATTTGTGGCTGGTCTTGCTTACATCTATCTGCCAAAAAGACTTGAGTAAAGTAGTGTGTCTTCAACTAGCCCAAACTTCCAAAAAGTAAACAGTTGCTAGCTGGACTTAACAGAGGAGGGCATTATTCTGATTATTGCTATTATTAGTAGATCCCGATACAATACCAACAAATTAATGAAGTAAAAGTAAATTGGGAAAGCCTGATAAATTGGGAGCTAGCATGTGATATCTCAGCAAGGATAATTCATTATGCAATGTTAATAGAACACTATGTCGTGATCTTAGAGTCCAGAAGTAAATTAACATACTGAGTCAGAGACTACAGATTCAATAGCTAAGGAGTCAAACTCTAAGTCCGACTCTGGTGATCAGGGATCCACTAAATCTGAGTATGACAGGCGAGAGCCCCCTAGATCATATCTCACATCAACAGGGGCCACAGAGTCAAAGGGGGACCCTTCACACACCTACCTTAGAGCCTGAGGAACTTAGTGCTTTCCAATGTACCTCACCAATGAAGTGGTAGAGTGACAGCACCAGGTAGGAGCCCAGGGACTGCAGAGGCCAGAAGGCTGACTCTTTGAGTACTGCAGGGGTCCCCCCCCACCAAGGGGTTAGAGCCTAGGAGGGGTGGACTTAAGGCAAATGCTCAAAAGGCCTCAAGTCCATCTCTAGCCTTCATTGGAGCAAGCTGGTCACTCAGCAGTCTTTGTCTTGCTCTGTCCGGACAAGGACGCATCCATCATTAGTTTTGATAGATATATTCTTATTAGTATAGTATCACCAATGGACTTTATTTTAAGTCCATATACAGTCAATATTTAACATATACAGTGTATTTTATGTTAGTATTACAGCAAAATGGCAAATATAATTGAATTATGACTCATTTCTCTCTTCCATGCATTTTCATCGTCCCCATTTATTGAGTTAGTCAGTTATCAGATTTGTTCACTTTCTGCCAAGACCGCCTTGCAGTGTGTGCACACGGAGAGTGTGTGTATCTGGGTAGTACCACACTGTGAAGTTCAAAGAAAATGTTGTGCTTTCAAAGAGGGTAGGTTTGGCATATAAATTGTCCTACCTCTGATATGCAAAGGGACTGTGTTGTTGACTGAACCCTATTCGTTTTAAAGCTTCAACTATTTTTGGAGTGGTGTATAATTTAATACATTGATGGATCTCATGTCAGGCATTCTTGTACCACCTTCTTTATCTTTCGCTGAAACATTTTATTTTCCTCAGTAATCGGCTTTGTTGCATCTGTGTTTACTTTTGTGATATGCACTAAACACAACATTTTGCAGTTTGGACTGCCAGGCAATACTGTATGGTCAGCTCCTCTGCGAACAAGGCCTGGTTTTGTCATCATGAACTTTAAATAACTGGGCTACATTTATGCATTGAAATGAAAACAGCAACTGCAGTTTGATGGTCTTGAATACATGGACAGTTTTCAAACGCTCCAGTGAATGTCATTTAACCCATGGCCAAAGGTAACAACATATTCTTTGAAACACAGCCTGGTTTATAAGGATCATGACTAAGAAAAGCAAGTATTATGTAAATCTCTATTGAATGTGGGCCTATATGAAGATGACCGAGGAAAAGAGAGCCGGCATATCAGGACAATGAAGGAAGTAGATCAACTCTGCCTTCCCACAAGACTGCCAGAGCCATCAAGGTCAACATGTACCACTTTTGCCTCTTGGGACTGGAAATGAAAGGGTGGGGAGTTTGCATCCATCAAAGGGCCATATTTAGACCTGGGGCCCCCAATTGCTGATTTCTACTCCTAGAAATATTCCAAAGAATCCTGTGGAACTGCAGGTTTAAAAACAACAGCAACAACAACAAAAACCCTGAAATTGAAAAGGGGGCCCTAGGTGGGAATTAAATAAAATAGCATTATGTGGAGGCAGATGTGGAGGAACCAAAAGTATGATGGATTCCTGTTTCATTCTAAGAATGCTACTAATGTGTCCCTCTGTTATATTTGTTTTATTTGTATTATAGTTTGATTCTGTGCTTTTTTCCAGGGGTTACTCAAGGGTAAGCAGTACTAGCACCTCTTTTGTTGCTGTTAAAAAGTGTGGCACTTCCTGTAACAACTTCATGGTGAGTACCTTCACCTATTTTTCTAGAAAAAAGCACTGATTTGATTACTTTTAAACTATTATCTATTAGCTTTCTAGCTTTTTGTATTTTATCTGTATTGTTTTAGCTTGTGTAAGCCTCCTCGAGTCCCAGTCTAGGAGAAGGGTGGGATATAAATAAAGATAGTAGTAGTAGCAGCAGCAGCAGCAGCAGCAATAGATCTTAACTCCCTCCTGAGTTCATTTCTTTACAATGTTAGGAATTTTTTATTTTTTTTTGCTTTCTTTTGTACATAAACATTGGACAGTTGGTAGTTCTTGTTCACCAGCGCTTTCAGCCTTTTAATTGTGTGTTTTAAAGGCCCAGTTGGGAGTTCTAAACAGTGGATCCCCAAAGGAAGCTTTTTTAAAACATTAAAATAAAAAGTACAAGAGCAAGCAGCTGTATGCAGCCCCTTCTGAAACGGCAGGAGGAAATATATAAAATAAATCGTTTCAGCTGAAGCTGCTCTCTTCCCACACTATTTTCTCAGGGAAGACTGCAAGCCTGCCATCAGCAGTGCCCTTTCTAATCCAAAGTTCAGGCCACCAAAGAAACTACTTCAGTTCAACTATTTTAGAAACTGTCTTTTCTTTCCCCATTGTTGCCCCTTTTCCTGCTGCGTATTCTTCTAATCATGTCAAGGCAGGGGCCGTGAAGCCACAATCACCTCCTTTGTACTGAGAGCTGGAAAAGAGGATGGCCATCATTAAACAGCCTCTGTGCTCCTGTCAGAAAATTAGAGCATCATACCCCCACCCCTTTTAAAAGCTCCTATACACAAAGGTGACTGGCAAGCAAACTCTACTTTTCTGTGCCAGCTTTCACAAAAAGTAGCCACATTCTTCCAGATCCTCTAACTCGGGGGCGGGGGGGGGACCTCCTTCATCCCAAGGGGTGCATTCGGTTTTGGGCAACCTGTGGTGGGGAGGGCACATGCCAGTGGTGGGTGGGGCAAGAGGCAAAAGTGGGCTAAGCAATGAGAGTGATTCTTTACCTTTGCACAGTATGCTAGTTTCTGCACAAACTCTCAAGGCATTATCAAAGGTCAAGGTACACATTCCAACCAGGCACAAAACACTCAAGGATGCTACGAATGAAAGTTGGTGAGGTGTTGGGCAGGACTCAGGTGCGTGGCCTGGGGAAGAACCCAAGGGCCAGACAGTCATGCTTGGAGGGCCACATTGGGTAAGGCTGTAAGTGTAGATATAGCCCCTTGTATTACATCACAACCTTCAATCTGTGACAGCAGAAGAAAGAGCCCCAATTGTGTGCTGTCATTTCTAGATAGGGCTTCCATCTCCTGGTGCCTGTGAAGTTGCAAGTCATAAAGAAGGTTGCAAAGGAAGGCAAAATTAGGAGGTTCTGAACCACAGTGTCTTCTAGGTGACCATTCTCATAAACAAACACCATCTCATATCAGTTTTATAAGTTTATGGGGGTAGTGTATAGGAGTAATATGACTGCTAATTCTAAGAGTAGGTGCAAAGTTACCAATTTTTGTTTTGAAATGTCTGGCACCTCAGGCTGAGCTTGTGCAGAGCCTCTTTATTCCAAAGAGAACCAACTTTAAATGGAACAAAGGAAAAATATCACCATTGATTATGCACAGATTACCTTTCCTTAGCAAAGAGAACAATGGCTCATCTGTAGAGACTCTCTGGACATGCAGTGGAATCTGGCCTTCCAAGCCTGCTTAGGTTGGCTATTGCTGACTGAGAGGTACACTGGGATGAAAAGAGCAAATAAGCATTTCTCTGAGGGTGAGAGTATTAGGCTGTCCAGTACTCTGAGCAGTCTACGTTTACAGTAGTGGCTGCCAGGGACAATATATGCACTTTGGGCCTGTCACTGCCTCTCTGTCTTATTTACCTCATATGGTTCTTGTGAAGATAAAATGGAGGGTAGGAACCTATTTACTATGCCTGGAGCTCCTGGGAGGCAAGGTGTGATATAAATGTAAGAAATAAACCAACACATGCCAGCTTATTTCATGAACCTTGCAAAATGTTGCCAGCTATTCCAATACACCTCTAATGGCAGTTAAGCCATTAGAGGTGTATTGGAGGTGTATTAAGGTGTATTAACTCGTATACATGTGCAGGCATTTGCCTAGCGTACAGAAAGAGTACACTATACTCCTGTGCGATGCTTGTGTATTATAGAAGATCTCATGCATTTGCACTAAATTAAAAAATTTAAAAGCCTGGCTGAATTTTTTCCTTCTTGCCAGTTGGATCCTCAAATCCTGGCAGCTAGCCAGAAGGGTAAAATTCTAACTAGGCCCTTAAAATGCTGTTTCAGGTTGACATGTTTATGTTGGTGAGAAAGTAGCCCCAGTAGGTCATGTGTGAATCAACACCTCTCCACAGGGCTGGCTTTGCTATCCATAGTGGGGAAAACAATGTATTATCATGAAAAGGAGTACAGTGGTACCTCGGTTTTTGAACATACTCTGTTCTGAAAGACTGTTCAACTACTGAAACATTTGAAAACCGAGGCAAAAAGGGCAGTCTGCAAATTCAATAGAGAAAATGGGGGGGGGGCACTCAGTAGAAATACACTAGATGTCACTAAATTCAGCAATGGTCTGGTTTGGAATCTGAATTTTTTGTACTTGTAAGGTGAGCCAGTGTTCTGAGCTGGACCATTCCCAGAAGAACTGAGAGAGGATGGATGAGAAGTAGAGGAAGGGGGGAGAGAAGCAGAATGGAAAGAATCCTCCCTCCCTCCTTCTGAGCCGCTGATGCCACCACAGCAGCCAAGCAAGAGTGATGGAGGGTTACTGGGGAGAGAAAGGCAGACCCAATCTGCTTCCGAGGCTGACATCAGAAATTAATAGAGATCTGAACTGGGCTCAGAAAGTAATAGCTAATTTCATTTTAAAAAGAGAATTGCTTTATTTTCCAAGCCCAGTTCAAATTGAAACTTTGGGGTGTAAATATCACCAGCTTAAAACACAGCTAGGTGATTCTTTATCTCAATTCATATTGAAGCTAGTTTGGAGGAAAATGCACCAACATACAGTATTTCACAAGAAATTACAGAGAAGGTACAGGATAGATATGGATTGTGGCTAATGCCATGTGTACAGCACTTCCCAAACCAGCAATGGGAGACCTCTAGGTGGAAGTGTATACACAGCCTCTGTATGCGTGTGAGTGCACCATGGCCATCTTCTGCTCTGGATCTGAATTTATTGATCTCCATGATACCATCTATGTTTCTTCTACATATGCCACACAGATAAGCAGCATCAAACAGTGTACAGCCAAGTATTGAACTGATGCCTTTTGGCTTCCATCTATATCTCTTCATTATACAGTCAATCACTTTTGTTCCACAAGGTCACTTTGCCCAGTGGTCATCTCCACAGAGGTTACCTCTGTGATGAAGCACATGCCTTTGCAGAATGGATGAATAAATAAAAAGCTACAGCAGATTCATCTTTTAAAGACATCAGGCTTTCCAATTGTGCCCCCATTTTTTTTGAATAACTTCACATAGAATTAGAATTAAATAGCTGAAAAAGATATACTGTTCCATATGTATAATAACCCACTTATGAAGATCCTATTTAAGGATAGTCATAGATTTGATACATTCTAAATTCTTTCTGCAGTTCTTATTTTAAAAGCTACCTTGATGAAAAGGCAGTGACGTGTCCAATCACAGCTTGATTACAGAGGGAAAGATATGGAGGCCTTGTATGAAATCTAAAAACCCCACCCCCTCAACTCTCTCCAACGTTAGTCAAATCATGGTCCTCTTCCTAAAAGCTGCTTTTGATTCCTGTAAGTTGGTTTTAATTGTTGTGGTACACAGGCATTAGAACAAGGGTCAGCAAACTTTTTCAGCAGGGGGCCGGTCCACTGTCCCTCAGACCTTGTGGGGGGCCGGACTATATTTTGGAGGAGAAGAAAAAAAGAACAAATTCCTATGCCACACAAATAACCCAGAGATGCATTTTAAATAAAAGGACACGTTCTACTCATATAAAAACATGCTGATTCCCAGACCGTCCGCGGGCTGGATTTAGAAGGCGATTGGGCCAGATCTGGCCTCCGGGCCTTAGTTTGCCTACCCATGCATCAGAACAAAGCATAATGACACCAGGGCCCTGAAAATTCAAGTAGTATTGTCAAGGCTAAACATATTAACAGTCAACCTCACATCTACTACAGTATTCTGACTCTAGCCCTTGATCCACTGCTGTTTCCTTACATGTGTTTTAATATGCACTGAGAGAGGAAAAAGTCAGAAAAATGACACGTCCTTGTAATTTGGGGGAAGTCACATACAAATCAGACATACGTATCTTGGGCAAGCAGGTACTGCAAAGTCTTGCTTCAGACTTGTGGCTATCTACAATAATTCAAGTTTAACTTTAAACCTATTTCCCAGGACCATAGAGATTTGGTAATAGTATGTACATGAGCAGTATAATGCATTCACTATCATTACAGATAGGCACAAATCCATGAGTTGACTGGTGAAGATGCTTGTGCAGCAGCCTGCAGGAAATTAGTAGCAGCAATTGTGGTTGCCTCCGCCTGCTCCTCCTCATTAAGGGTATCCTTTAAAGGGGTCCAGGGGTGTGGATCCTGTCCAAAGCCTGGGTGTGGGCTAGGGCCATGCCACGACCCCATCGTTGACCCTGGAGGTGCTCTTAATTGATGTATATCATAGGGCTCCCCCTATCGGTGGTTGACCCTTGCAGTGGTGTCCAAACTTTTTTCAAAGAGGGCCAGATTTGATGAAGTGAAGGGCCATGAGGGCCGACCACAGTTGTTAACCTTTTTTAGGATTGAAGTTGTTGAGCTTTTGTTTATGATCTTACCCCAAAGTTGGTTATTATTACACCAGGAAATAAACTGCCACTGGATTAAACCAGATTAAACCAATCGGCGGGCCGGATTAGGCACCCAAAATGGACTTTGGACTGTCGGCTTCACCCAAATGCCTAAGCCAAACCACTCACATCTGTAACCAATAAAGTTGTGGCCTAATCTATCCCATTAACCCAACATGTTTGTGTCTGTGTGTTTATTTCTGAGGGGAATTGCGGGGCCCGGAGCCTCGCCATGCAATAGCAATTGTGGTGGTGCTACATCAAGAACAACTACTTCTTAAAGCCTTTGTTAGTGCCAGTTATATGCTAAACACTGCAGTGAATGTCAAAGTGATTCAGTCCTGCCCTGAGGGCTGCCAATGAGTTTTCGACTGGGGGAAAAAGGGAATGACAAACGTTTAACAAAGACTCAGGAAAAGTCGGGTAGACATAGGAGGTTGAACTGAACATTCTCAGTTTTCTCAACTTTGGCTCCAAAAGGGTGGTGGTGTATTTTAGGACTCTGAAAAAAAAGTGTTGATTGATTTCAGGATGGGAGAAAAAAAGCTGCAAAGCATCCTCAACCACACAAGTAAAATAGACTGAACTGTAACAAATCTCTCTCTCAGATACATCCTGCATTTCAGTCTAATAATTTAGTATGTTCTTTACAGTCTTGTTAAGTGTTCTGAGTGTTAGGAAATGCATATGATTTTATAAAATTTCCATTCACTATCCAATGATTGTTTCATAACAGGTTATGAACCTGCTACTTACTACAACCAACTTTCATTTCTTCAAAAAGGCACATTTCCAAAATGTATTGTATTTAGAAGTCCTAAGTGAATCAGTTTCCAAAATATTCTATGCTGTTTGAAAAGAGGGGTCCAAATTCAACACCATCCTTGCTAGGGATGGGGAATTGGCTCATTTCGCATTTTAATGTGAACCTACTTAACTTGCAATTCCAGAAACAATATGCAAACTGAAACACAGTTCCATTCTTCAAAATACAAATTTATTGGTATTTCATTATACAATTTAACCAAAAAAAGGTGTACAAAAATGTATTAGGAGATTGTGCATAGCAATGCTTTTACCAGTGAAAATAGCATGCAAAATGCAACCTATTAGGGCAAAAATGTATATATAAAGCAAATTTGCTGCAAAAATATGTGTATTAAAAGAAATGCACCTTAAAATGCTGATCAGTTTTCATGAGGACTTTTATAAATGCCCACAAACTGATGCAGAAATGCTAAGAACTTAAGACTGTAAAATGTAAAGAAACAGAATCAACAGGCTTTTCCATCTCCACCCATGCCTTCAGCCTTATTTTTCTTCTTTCCCTTTTCCATCTCTCTCTCTCTCTCTCTCTCTCTCTCTCATGATTTGTGGCTTTAGCACTCAGTCATACCAATGAAACAGCATAAAACCAGAGTAAAAGTTATACAAAAATACACTTCAGGTGCAAAAATATTCTTTCTCCATATTGGGAGATGTGTGAGTTCTTATTCACATTGCAAAGCTAGAAAGCGAGTCACAGTTCCTCTGTAATGTGTGAAAGTGCACTCTCACTGCCTCTCAGACATCACATGCAGACAAGACCCATACCTCTCACTTTACTATTTAGGAAACATTACATGTTCCTAATTCTGTCCTCATTTCAATATGTTTTGGAACTGGAAGGTTTGATTTTAATACTGGTAAAATAAAACAGCCAGTTTCAAGGTAAACGAAACAGCTGAATCATTGCTAATTTGGTAAAACCCTCTAGTGCCAGCCTTAGAGGTTTTCATACCAGAAGTATGACTTTTATTATATCTTTACTTTTGTTTTATGTTATTTTGTTAGTATGGCTGAACCCTAAAGCAGCAATACACTGAATAGAATGCCTGAAATAAAACAGGAGAGGGCACCATTTTCCGCATTTGCTCTCTCACAGAGTGGGGCAGGAGGCAGGAACATGTTTCTTCATGTGACAAAGGCAACCTTGTGGACATGCTCTGGTTGAGTCAGTGAGCTAGATGGGGTCAGGTCCCTCAGTGGACCCCACTGCAGACTTATTCCCACATACAAGACTGCCAAACTTTGAAGGGAATCAGAAAGCAAGGTCAAACCAAGCCCAGGTATTAGAGATGGAATCTGAGCCCAAACATAATGCAAGGGCAGACTCGGTAAAGGAAGGTCTGGGGTTTGCAGCTGAAGGGGTCAAGAAAAAAGCATGGCAGAGGAGTGCCAACTTGGCCCCACAACTGTGGGTACATGCATGGCCCTGGCACCACAATTTGTGGGTGCCCGGTCCCTTCATGGGAAATTTTGTAAGAGCTTAGGTACCCAGGGCCCCAGGGAGTTGGCACCTATGGTTCAGCATCAGGTTCAGCATAAGGAACTGAATGACATGCATTGTTTTCAGCAACTAGCAGAGTCCCAAGTGAAGCATGATATAGCCTGACCCCAACATCCTCTGTCAGTGTGTGAGTCTACTCAAAGACTTTTGTTCTTGAGGAATGGCCTCACTCACAAGGAACCCTTTACTCAGGAGACATGCAGTGACACTGGCTTCTCTGTCATGTAGTCCATCCATGACCAGCTGCTGGGGCTTGGACCTTCTGGTGCTGACACTGTCAAGAGCTAGGAGAGGACTGTGACAGGGCCAAGGATTCCTCTGCAAGAGGTGAGTTAGGAACCCAACCCAAGCATCCTTCAAAGGCATCCCTGGAGGTAGGCCTTGGGAGGTCCCACCTGGTATACCAGGGAATTCAGTGCTGGGGTCAGGGGGCTAGGTCTGCTCACCTAAGCTGTCAATCATCAGGAGCTCTAGGTTCTCATCATCTGAGGTTACCAGGGCCTGGCATAATACCTACTCATTTTTTATGTGAGAAAGGCAGCGCGTTGAACATTCCCAATGTGATCATTGCTGCCCATGTGAAAACCAAGAGACTAGCTTAGTGGGTGAATATTTTGTCAAAGCTCTCAGAGTTCAGCATTCAAGAGAGATAAAAAACAAACACTATGTTCATCACAATCCCATATCCGTTGTTTTTTTGGCAATGTTTTCGTCAACAGTTATATTACAAAAATTATTGTTTGTGTGCCACAGCATTTGCCTGTCAGATACCACAGCTGAAATTGTTTTGGTTTAACTGTCTGGTTGTCTTTTCAAAATAGCACTGGGATTTCTCTGACTATTTTACATAGTACATTTTCTCCTGCCAGCCAGACATGCTTCTTACCTACAGATCTGCCCAGCGAGATCCCAAAGCACTTCAGCCCTATTTATATTGTACTGCTTTTGTGTGCCAGGAACTGTCACTCTCTGCATGGAAAGTGTCCAGCCTCTGCATGTGAAGCCAGGCCTTTATCTCCAGCATGAAAGGCAAGGAATCAATCATGCTCCTATCAGTTTATCTGATTCTCCTGCTCTCCTTTCTAATGTCCTAGACCTACAGAGTTTATGCTTATATTGGCTGTTATTTTTGTTTAATAGGCCGCCTGCCAGAAGGACAAGTGCCCTTCTGCTTCATCTGAAGAAAGAATAAAATGATCCTGCACAGCCTGGAAGCCAAATCAATTCTATTCAGACCTTGAAAAATGGGAATATTGAAAACAGCATCAGAGAAGAGGAGGGATCTGAATACAGATGCCTTTATCATTTCTTTCATGTACTTGGATTTATGTCACACTGAGTGACTAGAGCGATGGTCTAAAATAAGAACAAAAACAACTTCCTTGTCTGCACCAGCATCTGCAAAAGCTGTCACCCCAGAAATACTAACAAAGTACATCAATAGGCATCATTTCACTACACAAGGTCAGACTACTATAGGAGGCCCAAATAAACAATCCCTGGCTCTCAAGTGTACATGTGATGGTCCCGTGGGTCAACCGAGAGGCAAGGTCCGAGTCCAGTCCGAGGTCGAAGGTGCAATATGCAGGCAGTCCATAAAAGCTGGAGCTGAGTGCAGGGCAGGGAGTCAGGTGAAGTCACGAACGTAGGACAGTGTTCAGGTAGGAACTGGCAACCTACAAAGTTGCTCCCGCAACCTGGGACTGGAGCTGACGGGCTTTTATCTGTCCCGAGGCATAGGGCAGCCCCAATCCTCAGGTGACCCGCCTCTCCTGGCCTGGAGGCGAGCACTCCTCCTGCAGGAACTTAGTTCCCTCCGCCTCTCTGCCCTGAGCCTCTGCAGCCCAGGAGAGGCTGGAGGGTTACTGGACCCAGAGGCAACCTCTGCTTCCTCTGACGGGGCTAAGAGTGGAGCACCTGCAGGCAATGGGTCTTCCCTCACCTCAGGAGCCAGAGCAGACTCAGTTGGAGCCTGCACCTGAGGATCCAGCACAGGTGAGGACCCTTCAGTCTCATGCCCCAGCCCCGGCTCAGCCGGTTCTGGAGGCAGGGAATCCTGTGCAGGCTGGGATTCCTCAGGTTCTGCATCCGAGTCCGAATCCCAGGCCTTCACAGTACAGCACTTGAAGTCCTGGAAAATGGTGCAAGACAAATTCCAGGTCACATGAAGAAAAATATTACTGCATATGTTATTTAGTCTGGTTTTTAATAGGTTATCTATTCTACCCATTCTACCCAGAGCTGAATGAATGAATGAATGAATGAATCTGCAGAGTGAGACGATTCTTAAAATAGAAAAGACAGAAGTCGCTGAATGATTTCCTAAACCAAAGCAGTGTTAAGTGAAAACATTCTAGTTATTCATTGCACAACTGGCCTCCTTATTTTGGATCCTCGAGATAATCTTAGGTGGTCTGGTGAGAGGAAACGTTCAGAAAGTCACCTTCTCTCTACCCAATTCTGACAGTGCTTTTCTGGATCCAAGCCATCACATTTAAATAAATGGCTTGAAAATGGCTGCTCTAAAGATCTACAATGACCATTATATCCAAGGGTAGACTAAGGAGACCCAGGTTCAAATCCCTCATCAGCCGTCCATTTCACTGGATGAATAATATCTCAGACTAACCTACTTGATTTCATTGTTAGAAATGAACACAAAATGGAGGAAAACCAGAGCTCTTTGGAGAAAGGTCTGCTTATAAATGTGACAAACAAACATATATACTATGATTTCATTAGACATTATAGACCTTCCTTTCCTCCTCTGCACAAGCCACAGTATGCTTCACCTGTGATGGCTTGATAATGTTCAGAGCCCACCCTTTAGCCACTCTTGCCAAATATGCTTCTGCTGCATGTTTTGAGAAGTGCTGGCAGTGTGGTGTTTAAAGTCTCAGAACTTCTGTTACTATGGGACAATACATTCCAGTTCCTCTTAAACGGACTCCCAGGGAGGTCAATGCTACATAACGGGTAAAATGTGGCCCTCCCCACAACCAAAGGGAAAACCAGTTAAGGGAATACTGAAAGCCAAGGAAAAAATGCCTTGAAGGTGTTGGGAGGCACACAGAGAAAGGAGAGGGGGGAACCCCAATGAGCTATTGGGAGTCTTTGCACCGGCTTCTACTGGCAGAACAGGGTAGTTGAATTAGGTCCCATGACTTCCCTGAAGACCACGCAGTGCTGAATAATCATTTTTATTGTTTGCTGTGCATAATTTCTGAAAGTGCAGTAATGAGAATTAGCAAGCTGTAAGAAGTGCTTAAATCAAATATATATTAAATTATATTAACATAAAATAAAGTTATATAATAAGGAAGTCTCATTCCTGGAATCACAAATAAAACCAAGTACAAATTAAATTTCATGTATTTAAGTTTTTTCAGTGAGAACAATTATATTTTATAATCTGTTTGAAAGCTCGGGAGGGGAAGGAATCTATATATAGAGAGATGAACACTAAGGAATTCTGCGCTTCTTTTATGAAATGCTTCTTCATCAAAATATTTTAATTTCTTATTTAAAATAGAGCAGGATGCTGTATTTTGTATGTTCTGATTATTCAGAAATATGTGCACAGGATGAGAGGTATCCCATCTCTGCAGGATAACTTTGACTTGAAGGCCAAAGTAACAGAGCTGGCAAGTTGAGGGAACACTCATTAATGGTTCTGCTCTCTTGACTAAACCTGTAAATCGTTGCACTAATGGAATGAGGTCATTGGATACTCTCTTGTGTCTGTTGGATTCACCTATGCAGATATTCATGCTTAATGTGTGAACTTCAGTGGGTAGGGTTGAGGATCTGGGTGATCTTGCAGTTAGGGCTGGCCATAGAGACCTACCATTGCCTCTTTGGACACAAGAGGTAACTTCACATTATTAACACATGAAATGGGCTCTAGTGTGCTGACCATTTGTTATGCCAAGGTCCTTAAAACCTCAGGATCTGAGCTTAGAACCTAACACTAGTATTTTTTAACTATTAATTTATTTACCCAGACAGATACAATCTGCATTTTTAAAAAAAAACCTACGGTCTCAAAAATAATTTTAAAATAGCCCGAAGTAAAATGTGTGCTCAATCTCTTATATTAAAGAAAGTAAGGGGGAGGGAGAAAAGCGTTTCACATATCTACATATACTCACAAAGGATACATAACAATATATGGTGATAGAACATATCCCCCCTGAAATCCTCATCTTGCTCTCATTCCTTCAGTTACTTGAAGGGATGCTAAAATACCTTTGTAATTTTATTCACAAAGCATCCATTTTTGTCAAAACAAGAGCAAAAAAGTTTTTGGGTTTTTTTAGCAAAACAATTTATCCCTGACGGGAGCTGCAACTGGAATTTGCTGTTCTCACAGTACATTTACAACCTCCTGTGATAAGTATGTGTGTGCTAACATTCTTTTGGA